TTAATCAATGAATGCTAAATATATGCTGTGCAGATGAAAGAGCTGTGCTTAATATTGCATGTCTTTTGTCCTAGAGTGATATAAACTCGCAGTAATGACTCTTGAGCAGAAAGCAATCAAGTGGTAACAGCTGGGCAGAGGTGAGCATGAATGCACTGTCAAGAACTTGCAGGTCAAATTCCTTCTGTAGATCTGATGCATGCATCCATCTTTGTCTGAGCACAGATCAGTGCCTGTGCCACTCTCTGTGAAAGGTGTGAAATCCAAAGTTATGCAACTCTTCAAAGCTTTCACATCAATTTCTAAAGAGTTTATACAGAAATGTGCTCTGCTGTTTCTTTCCCTTCTTTGCTTAGTGCTATCATGGCTGTCTTGTATTTGAATGTGATTTTCCAGTGCAGTTTTCCTCTCCTAGTGAAAAGCTACGCCATTCCTGCCCAAAGGAAGGAAGGCAAAAATAAAAAATAAAAAATCCCTGTGTGGTAGAATACTGCTGCCTGATGATATTATTAACAAGTTAATATTATTAATACTCCCTGGATCCATAGCAAAGAGACAGAATTTCAGTTAATTTCTGTGGCTCTTGGCAGTTCTCTCACAACTTGAGCTGAGGGAAAAGCAAAATGGTGGGGGGCTATCAGCCATTTTCCCTGGCCCTGAGAAAAATGACTCATGGATTGCTTTCCGTGGATCAGTGGCCATGATGCTCTGCTAGGAGACTTTGTTTCCAAGACAACTGTTGCCAAGAAAGACTGGTTTTCCTTGGGAACAATTTCAGTTTGTTATTTCTGTGCAGCAAACCTTCTTCTGTATCCACTGTTAGAACTGTGAGAGAAGCTCTTGGGGTTCCAACTCCTGGTGGAAGCGGAGGAACAGTACAAAGAGGAAGCCATTCTAATCACCAAGAGGGAGTTTTCAGTCTTACATGGACCTGCACAAAGTTCATGATCTCTCAGAACATGTAGGCACTCTGCAAATACAGGCCCTGAAATAGGGCACTTGTGAGACTCTTCAGGACGTGGTATCGAAGGTATTCCAAAGCTTACAGTTCTCTTCAACAATACTTAGTTGGGAATGGATGGGGTCTTGAGGGATATTCAGTATTTTAATACATCTGTACAAAAATCTTACAATTTAGTACAGAGGCTGTTATTTGCAACTTGTGCGTGCTGAAAGCAGCAGATTCCCCCACCTCACACTAATGTGAAAATCTCATGTTTCTTAAAGTAATGCTTTCCAGACATGCTCTCAAAGGATCATTCTGTTTCCTTTAACATTTCTCTTGATTTTTAGATCATCTGAAAGATTGCCTTTGCTTCACTTTATTAAAGGTATAGTGATAATGTGTGTCAAGTCAATAATCCCTTTTGTTACAGAGGTTTCTAAAGTTTGTGATGAATATCTTTACTGTCCTAGCATTGGCTTCCCATTTTTTGCATTGAATAGTTCTATTTCAATTGGAAAGTTTCTTTGATTATGTCATAATATTAGGTCATATTCACCTCAGTGGATTTAATGTAGTTAAGTGAATAAGCTATTCTGGTAAGTACATACACCTACTGACCACCTAGCATCCACCAGAGGTCACTTCCTGGCCACATAATCCATTATCAACTGTGCTTTCAGTTCAGCTGTTAGCTGCTTTTGTTTTGCCCTCAAAAGCCTCCTAATTACTTCGAATCCTGTCTAGAATCATTAAGACACAGAAAAAGAAGATCCTGATGAAACATTAAAAATGTAGGGATTTGATTGATCCCCTTTTAGTGAGGTGAATTTAGTAGAATTTTAGTGGCTAACGATCCCATGCTTTGCAAGATATTAAAGATATATTATTAAAGACATTAAGATATATTATTTGTAGATATTAAAGAATTTTAAGTACAACCTGACTCTGCCTTGTATAATCTTATCTGGATTCTCATCTTCTTAATCATCACAAAATCTTTTTCAGTATGCACTTAAATTGAAAAGTGAAATGTATTTATAGCTTCTGAAACATCAGTAGCATCTGAGCCTCTCTTGTTTATTGGAGAGGCCTGTTTTTGACTATTTTTTCTTGCAATATGAAGAAAGCCCTCTAGAATTCTTTATTGACTAGTCAATTGAAAGACACGAACAACTCATCTTATTTTGGAAAATGTGCCATTCTACATCTTTTGTAGCTGAAGTGAAAATCTGGAAATCAGACGTGATGTTTCATGAGATGTTATTTTCCTCCAGCATCTCATGTTCTTAAAGCTTACATGTCTGTTAGCTCAACCTACTCATTTTCAAGGAGATGGAGGAACTTGTTATATGTGTTCATGGCAGTCTGTTCCTAAAATGAGGAAACTCTTTGTGAATTGTGAACTCTGTTTGAAATCTCAAGCAAACCCAAACTTCTTCACTTCTTCTCAGTTAAGAAAACGTGTGTTTTGTTTTCTTTTGTTTTTTTGGTCTGGTCTGCTTCAGATTTATCTCACTTTCATCTCCTACATCAGTCTCAGTTTCACGAACTCCAAACCATAAATCAGTATCTCTTTTGAGACTGTAATAAGAATCAGGAATATTTTTTGGTTGTAAGTGTAGTTCCAGACTAAAGTGCAATCATTTTAAGTTTAAGAGAGGAGGAGGTGGCATTTGTACCTAGTTTATCATCTATCTGATTATTAACACCCACTGAAAATTTGCTGGGATGTGCTTGTTTAGGTCTCTTATGAACATACTTCAGTAACATAAACTCGGAGTTTTATACTTTCTGATGCTTATACTAACTTCTACAATAACTGCTGAGACGAATAATAATTACAATATTACAATATTATTCCTATACCTTCTTTTTTATTATGGTATTCTTGCTAGCATGTTCTACTGTAGAAATTTCGACCTCTTTCACAAGTAATGGACAAGTTTAAATTATTCTTTATGTGGACAGTGAGTACAGGAAATCCTAAGATTTTATCATTGGTGAGGATTGCCTCAAGGTAGGAACCCAGCACCAGAAACAACTATCCATGTAGTCTTTGTGCCTGGCTGACAACTGAAAATAAAGAGAACTTCAGCTCTGCTCCATCCTTCTCACTGTGCAGAAGTACAGATGCATAGGAGGTTACACAGGCAAGGGATAAATCACTATTAATTCAGAAGAACAGAACAGCTTGCACTTCAGATTTTTTGAAAAGGTTCTAATTATACTCACTGTATGAGCACCTATTAGGAATTGTGCTCCATAATGCCTGGACTCAGATTTTTTTCTGAAATAAGGTTATTCCTAGGGTCTTGTTCTTCAGAACTCTTTGATCCTACCTCTGATTGCCTCAGTGAAAGGTTTGAAATACTTTGTAAGCTCCTGGTTTGGAGATAAGAGCACACTGTTGGTCTGACATCAAAGTGAATCGATGAGCTAGCTGTGCATTTCTATCCACTGCTTTAGACATACACTCCTTTGCAAACCTCTAGAAGCTGTCACTCTGTTATGCTATGATGAAAATAATTGGATGTAGCTCCCACTTCTGTTATTGCCATATACTGTTGCTGCTGGTGAAGAGGACTCAAAACTGATGGCTCCAAAGGTAACTTCGAGGCTTCAAAAGCCAGGTTTTCTCACATGCTGGGCTGCTTGCTTCTCCAAGAAAATTTGAAGAGCTGCACTTTATGGCAAAGAGCAGACAGACATAAGACAGTTCCTACAACCAAATGACATGCAGAAAGAAATTATATTTGAGCATCTAAGCAGAGAACAAATCAGTACTGAAACTAAATATTTCTAGAGGAAGGGACGGCTTTATAGAAATGAGGAGGAAAAAAAATGAAATGAGAAATCCAGTGAAGAAAACCTTCTAATAATTTTGAATACTGAACCACCTGCTCTCATGATTTTTACATGTCATTTGACTCAGGAATTTATAATAATCCTGAAGGCTTGGATAAATGCATTGATGTGCTGCTGCTTTGTAAAATTTCTGTGTGATAAATACATCTCTACAAGATGCTTCACATGATATGTTTAGTGTTCTGAGCTGTACTAGGTGAGTACTAGGAGTAGGATAATCTCTGAGAACCCTGTCTAATTCATACTTTCTCTTTTGCAGGCAGGAAACATTCAGAGAAGTTCAATGGGGGAAAAATAAACCAGAAGTTTCTGTGGATTACAAGGTGACAGTATAGCCGTGCGTTGACAGCATATGGATAGCACATTCTAGTTCTTAGTCAAGATAGCCAATTTTCCAGCTTCTTATTTAAAGAATTAGACCTCTAATTCCAGATCTTTTCTTTATGGTGTTGGCTTTCAAATGTTTTTATCAAATCATGGCTGAAAGAGTTTGAATTGATATTTTCAGCTGGAGATGTCTATCAGAGCTTCCTCTGGGCAAGGAAGTTTTCCACAAGCAGAGTTGCTAGAGCCATCTATTCCTCAGAACAGCATTTTATACTACTCTTATTTCAGAGCTATCCTTGGCAATATATACACAAAGACAAACTATTCCTATTACTCTACTTTCCATGCAGGCTCTATTGAGAATTTTGGCCTGCTCACTGTGTCACAGTCTTTACAGGAAGAGAAGTAGAGGTGACTTATTTAAATGTTTTATTTCTTCACGCAATGTTGTCTTTTCTCATCTACACACAAATGTACATGTTTGACTTGGCCAATTTTTTTCCATGGATAATGCAGAGTACATTGCAGGAAAAACACCCACTGCAGTCAAGCAGGATCCAAGTCTTTATTTGAAGATTGTTCCACTGACTGAATAAAGGGGAAAAGCAATACAGTCAAAATGAATACCTTTCAGATAGCCTGTTTTTTTGTTGGTTTTTTCTCTTTTCTTTTCTTTTTTTTTTCTGTGTGCGTGGGGGGCTGTTCTGTTTTGTTCTTCATTTGTACTTTAACAAAGTCAATATACATCCAAGGCCAGGCAAAGAGCAAAGGGTTTACTCGCAGAATGTCATACGCAATTCCTGTAAATAGGGGTGGTAAGGTTGAAGTAGATGATCTCTAGGATTGTGCAAGACAGAGATAAGCCAGAAAACTCCAAATAAAGCTCAAAATTATAGCTTTAGTGGAAACTAAAGGACTTTATTTTTTTTTCTCTTGGCAGGCTGGTCCTTCAGATAAAAATCCAGCTATCTTCTGTTTCAATTCTTCTCTACTACGTTCTGTCACACTGGCTGTCAGGAAAGCCAATGAAGTGATAAGATTTTCACTGTGCACTAAGCAGGTAAAGGTGCTGGTGAGTAAAACTCTTTTTGCTGTAAAAAGTATTTGACCATATGGAGGCCTTGCAACCCTTGCAAGTTCAAGCATGCCACTTAGAAAGTGGCTGCCCTAGCAGTGCACAGTAAGCTGATGAAGATGACTTTGAGCAGGACGTGTCTGTCCATTTAACAGCATTCTGTCCCTTAGTATTCTCTATACTAACATACTATTTACTTTTGAAGAGCAGTTTCCCCAGTATTTGACTCGAAAGGGCTGTCCTTTTCTGTCAAATTTAGGCTTCAGGGCTGATGACTCAGAGCTGTCAGCTCCATGATTAGGACTGTTTTGCCTCCTGGCTGCCTCTTCCAGGATCATTTGCCTGATTTTTACCTTCATGGGGTGAGGCATGTCATAATATACTCTTTATGGAGGAATGCAAGAATTTTCTGAGATATATCTCTTGAAATAGCTGTACCAATATCACTTCCAGAACTAGCTACCTTCGAAGTATTAAAGAAGCTTCATTTCAGGGCCTGATTCTGATCCTTCTGCTTAAATATTCTGCAGTTGTGTAAGCCTTGCAACTCACAGAGTGTTACTGCACCCACACTTGGCATGACTCTCCATGTTGAAATCTCCATCTTCTCTAAATTTAAATATGGATTGCAAAATCTATGTTTCCTATTTTAGGAAATCCCTGAGATTTTTCTGATACAGTGGGAATATTTTGCTTTTTTGTTTTGTTTTGTTTTGTTTTTAATCCAAACTAATGTTGATATAAACTGTCATTAATGTCTTTTTGAAGTGATAAAGCTTCCAGGAAACTCTGCCATCAATTTCTTAGAGGGGAAAGAGACCCTTTGGTTTTCCTAGAACAAAGAGCGTTCATCTTGGAAAACTTTAGAGGTAAGCAGGTGGTAGCTTCAGAAGGCCAGCAGCCAAAAACAACACCAGTCTGTGTGTTAGGGACTTTGTAGTGACAGTATTCTCTGCGAGCTTTTGTTTTTAAATTTTATTTTGTTGGATCATTATTATGAACTTTTTCATACTGCCTTCATGAAAGACAGAAGTGGTATTTTCCCTGGTACCAAATAATGAGCCAAGTATAAATATCTAACAGAAAAAGCCCTTGGGTGGGTAAGAAGAGCTGTCTTTTGTCCGTGATGCTGGATAGGAAAAATAAATTGGATTCAAGCTCTATTATTACTGGTTAGCTAAGTAATTTCCCTTGTTTTGTTTTGGTATAGGCAGTTGCTCCAGATTTGGATGTGAGCCTACAGAGAAGTATAGAAAAAAGTGGTGCTTCTTTAACTGCTTTCTTTTCCTACTGATCATATTCTCTCAGTAATAAGCTAGTGAGTGCATTTTATATTGCACTTTATCAGATGAATCAAGACAGAACAGGATGTTCTCCATAGGGAATTTTTCCTGAGGCTTAAAATGAAAAGTGATTAGCAAAATTCATGCTGGATATGATTGTGCCTCCTTATCCATGCTTAAGACAATATTTCCTTAAACATGTTTCCTACTTTAGGCTGATCAGTAGAACCGAGAGAAAACAATGCCAGTTGACTTAGTACTTATTTACCCTTCAGGTTTGTCAGATCATGTTTGTGGTAGTTTCATTTTGTTGTTTGTTTCTTTGCTTTTGTTTTCAGTTAGACACAAAATATATTGGACATATTTATACCAAATTTGACCATCATATTAAAATTGAGAATAATTATTTTTGTGCAGTTCATCAGAACATAATGCAGAGCTTTGTCTTACGATGTTATTGCCTGTCACTGTTCTGCTCAGAGAGGGCAGCAAAGTATTGCAGTTCTGAGATCCAAGAGAACATCAGCTCTGAGGCATAATACTGAAAAAGTAATGTATCTTTATTAATATACAAGGTGTGAAAGGAGAAATTGAGAGGCAATCAGATGATGATTATCTAAGCATACCTGAAATTTTTGTCCTTTAAGCTATCAGTGTTTGCTAGTACTGAAGATATTAGCAAAAGAAATATCTTAATCACTCTTAGTTTCAATGTACAGTAATCCTCATAGCTGTAGAGAGAAGAGTCCCTGCAGAGATTAAATAGCTGGAAAGTTTAGGATTCATTGCAAACTGTCATTCTGTATGAATCATTTGGCATAAAGAGAAATTATTTAAGTTTAAACTTGCTATGAAAAAATACATTAAAATAAATTAGCAGCATGGTGAAATGGATGATATATTCTTTATACCTTGACATTTTTGGATTTTTGTAAGCTTCGTTGTTTTTCTTCTGATTTCCATACGTAAGTATACAATCAGAGGCTGGGTTATATGGTTTATACGCTACCCCCTGTTCTTGCCCTTTGGAACAAAGATTGAAGTATATTTCCTGGGTAACGCAGGCAAATTTTTCCTAGACAATCCTTTAAAATGATCATGTGAATGGATAAATTTGTGATGTGACTCTGCTTTATTTCTCACAGACCCATGGACTTAGCAATGACTATTCTTCAGCCTTTCAGTGCTTTGCTGCTTTGTCTATCACTGATGATGGCAACAAGTTCACTTACCACAGATAAACCTGAAGAGAAAATGTATTCATGTCCCATCATTCAGTGTAGTGCTCCTGCAGTCAACGGATTACCAGGCAGAGATGGAAGAGATGGTCCCAAAGGTGAAAAGGGAGACCCAGGTACAGAGCGTTTATCAGTAGTGTATTTTTGATGCTCCTTTTCATCCCTTTAGTCTTATTTTATGCCTTTTCTATTATTCCATTTTTCTACTTCTTCTCTGCCATATTAACCTTGTATAGTTTCTGTAAATTTGCAGAAAGCTGTCTATAAAGCACTTGCTCCATTTTTAATTCTATTCTAGATACTTGGATTTAATAAATATTTTTTTTTAAAAAACATACAAACATAAAATCCCATTTTCACAGCAGCCCATAGAACGGAGATAAAATGAGATTTTAATCTCAATGTACCATTTGTATTCTGAGCCATTTACAGAGTTTCCTACGTACCATACTAAATTGTGTCTGCTTTCCAGTGGCCAGCTCTCAAAACCAGAAATCATGTTTGCTGAAGTTGGCTACTAACCTAATGATAATAATTGGATTGCTTCAAATTAACTAAGTCCCAGCAACTGAATTTCCCTCAAGACATGATTTGACAAACAGTTGCTGCAAACAAACAGATTAGAAAGTGCTTTCTGTCACACAGTACAACGGAGTTATCACCTTTCCCAAGATATAAAATTGTTTCTGAGAAAATTAAGTACATACAGAACTGTATACCTTCTTACTAAATCCTATGCTGTAAGAATGTTTTTCCTCATATTCATATGGAATTTCTTGTTCTGTCACTGGGCATCACTGAAAAGATCCTGCCCCTACTTGACTCCCACACCTTATCTATTTATAAGCTTTGATAAGATCCTCTCTCAGTTTCCTCTACTGCCAGCTGAACAGTCCCAGGTTTCTCAGTCTTTCCTCATATGAGATGCTCCAGGCCCTTAATCATCTTTGTGGTCTTCCACTGGACTCTTTCTAGGAGATCCCTGACTTTTTTTGAACTAGGCATCCCAGAGCTGAACACAGTACTCCAAATCTGGTCTCACTAAGGTAGAGTAGACAGTGAGGATTATCTCCTTTGACCTGCTTGTCGCACTCTTTTTATTTCACCCTAGGATATACCATTGGCCTTTCTGGCCACAGAGGCACACTGCTGGCTCACAGCCAACCTGCTGTCCATCAGGACACCCAGATCCTTATTCTCAGAGTTAATTTCCAGCAGGTGAGCCCCTAACTTGCACTGACATGCAGTTATTCCTTCCCCAGTGTAGGATTCTACACTTGCCCTTGTGGAACCCCATAAGGTTCCTTTCCATCCAACTCTCCAGTCTGTCCAGGTATTGCTGAATATCCGGACAGCCTTCTAGTGTGCCAATCACTCATCCTAGCTTTATATCATCTTGTCATGTGTATAGTACTCCTCCTGGAGTTAGTTAATTACTTTTCAATATCCAAGCAAATTCCTATCAGTATGAATATAGCTTGATATGTATTTAAATATTCAAGTTGCCCAGAGAAGCTGTGGATGCTCCATCCCCAGAGGCGTTCAGGCCTGGGTTGAATGGAGCTTTGGGCTTCCTGATGTAATGGGTGGCAACCCTGTCTGCAGTAGGGAGTGGAACTGGATGATCTTTAAGGTCTCATCCAATACAATGATTTAATGATATGACATAAGATGTAAAATTTATCTGGAGTATACAAATGTTCAGTATAGACATTTTCAGTATCACGTATCCTCAGATATGCTCTCTGTTGTTTCGTGGCTGAAATATATAAAGCCAGCACTGCCTGATTAAATAACCACTTCAGAGGTATGCTTGACCTTTATTACATTTTACCTAATTTTCTAAATAACATAAGGTTAGATTACATGTAACGGCTTTCTGATTTTAGAGCATGTGTATCTCTGCAATAACAAAGTGTTTATTACATTGGAATTTCATTTTCATAAATAGATATAATAATGAATTTTGTGTCACAGTGATTTTTCATCCAAGTAATGCAGTTCCTAGCAAATGAATATTTTGACAGGAACAATTTTCAGGTGGAAGTAGGAGTGGTTTTTGACACAATGAGTGGTTGGAAGATTTCAGCAACGGCAAAATGAAATGATATCGACCATTGGAAGTTAATATAGTATTGTAACACCTTGAGGATATTTTTGTTAGATGTCTCATTCCTCTCCTTTCTACTGAGTTAGGATTTCTGGCCATGCTCTATTTCTTGGTTCTTTGCTGTTCAAGATGTATATTACCAATTATTATTCTTTTGAGATAAAATGCATTTACTGAGTGGGGTGTTTTTTGTTTTTATTTTTTTCAGCAATTGTTTCTACAATTAGTATTCACATAAAATTTGAGGATATGTTGTGTTTAATGTACAAACCTCAAATACTGAGTATTTCTCAAAAGAATTTCATCATTCATAAAGTGCAGGGTAACCTTACACTGCATCAGAGAAAACTTAAAATGATGAGTGAGTATTAGGAAATCATGGGTAAACAAGAAGTTGTCTGATGCTGTGAATTATCTCCTTTTCTGATTGGTATAAATGCAGGGACTTTGTTTTGTTGTTGAAAAGCTTTCTCAAAGCAGAAATACAGATAGCTCCACCAACGTTATCTATTTCCTGTTCACTTACCAATTTCATCCCTTTCTTCTGAGTGAATTCATCTCTTTACCTCCTATCCTCAGCTGGGTTTGCAAACATCTGCTTAAGAGAGTCTTTGGTGTTTATGTCTTCTGCATACAGTTGCTAGTTGTTAAACTGTTTCTCAGTTCAGGACTCTCTCCAAACACTAAGGGAACATGGTGGGAGAATACTCTCAGAAAACATTAGAACTATTTTCTCTCAAATCAAACTCTAGGGGAAGGATTGAGAGGTCTGCAGGGTTTGCCTGGAAAAGCAGGACCTCCAGGATTAAAAGGAGAGGTGGGACCACAAGGAGAAAAAGGTCAAAAAGGAGAACGTGGAAGTAAGTAGTAAAGCTCTCGTGTTTCTATAATCTATTTTTCAACCTGTTAGTGTATTATCTTTAAAATATTTGTTATCATGTCTCGTGTTCTGATTACATCATTTGAAGAAAGGTGTGAAGGTGTGACTTCCAGAAGTGTAATGAGCAAACAAATAAAACACCTGTTACTTAGGGGATGAGTTGCCCAGCATAACTTGGGAAAAAAAGTGTCTGGAGTCACTAGTTCTTTGTTGTTTGTGTCTAAAATTACAAATCCTTTCACTCAGATCACAAAGGCATTTCCCTTTAATTCTTTGTCTGTTCATGTATTTTCCTCTTTAATTCATTTAAAATGCTTACATTTGTGTTTTACCTTTGAGATCTGGGCTTTTCCAGATGAATTGATGAGCTTGTCAGCTCTGAGAATTCAAAGCCCACCCAAATATTCGTCTGAGTTAGAAATGTGGCTCTCTCACTGGCACAATTTCCCAGAGAGTGATTCTGCAATGTGCCCTATGGTTTCTGCTCTGGAAACCGAATGTCTCTCACACAGATTGACATCAGATGAAAGACAGCAGTGGTGTAGTTATTTTTAAGATAAATTACTAAGCAATACCCTTAATTCTTAGTTGTTGTAACTGATGACCTGCAACGACAAGTAACTGCTTTGGAAGCAAAAATAAGGGTATTGGAAGATGATTTAAACAGATACAAAAAAGGTAAGATACAATCATATCAATTTTCTTTTTGGAGTTTCCTTACAATTATTATAAGATGGTAGACTCCCTTGACACTAATCATGGATACCTGTTGAAGGCAGTATGGTAAAATAAATGTCTGTCAAAGAAAGCAAATGCATTTCAAAAGGGTTGTTCCAAGCCCAGTCTTATCTATTCAGTGAACAAGAGGCTCACTTTACACTGGGGGCTTTTTGTTTGTTTGTTTCATGAAAACCTGGCAGGCATGTGAACTATAGATATGTATATTTCTCCTAAGATCATTAATGTTTTCAAGGTAAATATTCAGTTTCCCAGACTCACTAAAGCTGTCCGTTTATTTCTTGTTTGCGCTCCCTGGTTTGAAACTCTGAATTTCATTACAGTCTCTTAGCTTTAGGTATGAAAGATCTCCTAATGGCAGCTCAGTTCCTCTGCATGAATTTTAATTAGTCTCTGATTTTTGCATTGAGACCTGACAAGCTTTTTTTTTTTTGTCCTGTGTGCAATTTGATTTAGGGAGCAAGTTCCTTCAGGTCTTGATTCAAGAGCAGTAATAAGATGCAAACAAAAAAATATATAATAAAAAATATATAAATATATATTAAAAATAAAAAATAAAAATAAAAAATAATATGGGAACAAAAAAATATATGTTAAAAATTACTTGTGATCCAAGCCTTGTGAAAGTCCTGTTTTATTAAAATGTGGATTTGGTATAGTCAGGTGTTAATTTTGTTTGATTTCTGTTGGTTTCTGCCTACTATTACAAGTAGTCTCCTTGTACTAAAACAGTAATAATTGAGATATTATGGATAAATTACTTTAGAATCTTCAATTTATGGTGTAATTCAACATGGTGTTTGCTTTTTCTTCTAGCCATGATTTTAAAGGACATTGTGAATGTTGCTAAAAAAATGTTTGTCTCAACTGGAAAGAAAGATAATTTTGAAAAGGGAAAATCCCTTTGTGCAAAAGCTGGAGGTGTGCTTGCCTCTCCAAGGAATGAGGCTGAGAATACAGCTTTAAAAGACTTAGTTAGCCCTTCAACCCAAGCTTATATTGGGATATCTGATGCACAAACTGAGGGCAGATTCGTGTACCTGAGTGGTGGGCCTTTAACTTACAGCAACTGGAAACCCGGAGAACCAAATAATATGAAAAATGAAGACTGTGCAGTGATAGAAGGCTCTGGAAAATGGAATGATTTAGACTGTTCAAATTCAAATATCTTCATTATTTGTGAATTGTGAACAGCTAATAAAAAGAAAAAATAAATCCAACTTTCTTCTCTCAGTTATGTGATTTTGTAGAAGTCTGTTACTATATTGCTGAATAGAATAATCAGAACCAGATTGTATTTACATTGGTTTTCTCTTTGACATACAGTTTTGAATCTCCTAATGAAACAGACCTATTTGTTCACTCGTGAATTGTTTAGCACGTGATATGCTGAGGACGTTACATTTATGCTGTAGGCTTCAGAAAGGTTTAACTCCATGTCAGCTCTAGTATAATGCCCTGGACAAGGTGCCTACTAACATTTGAAATGTATTTTCCATTTCATGTCCAAGCACAATCTGGCTTTGTATCTTTATCTGCATTTTATGAATTGCTGAACTTAAAATGTGAACTAAAATAAATTTTGAACATTTAAACCATGCATCTCATTTGAAAACATGGAAATGTTTGGCTAAGAGAGCATTTTGAATCTAGTTTACGGAATATAATGAGCTATTTTTATACAAATTACTATTATTAGGTGATTAAGCTAATAAATGGTATTTCTGCTCGATTGCACTCATAAATTCCAAGACTAACATACCAGTCGAACAGGTGTTCATAATGAGGAATTGTAGTTCAGAGACCATCATCTGAGCCATATTACTGTCACACACGGGAACGCAGTTTCTCCAGAGTCTGAGAAGAAAAGCACGTCATGTTTTCCCTCTGCATTTCTGATGATGACGGCTGGAAATAATAATTGATGCATTCTCTTCTGCTGGTAAAAATTAAGTGTCTGTCTATGGCCTATGTGATTTGGAACTCAGCCTTCACAGAAGACTTGTCCTATTTCTCTCTCTCCACAAGTCTGTTTATAACTTTTCCACCTTCTTCTGCTCCTGTGACAAGTACTGTAACCTTGTAGGTGACTGACAACCCAAAGCCTCTTCCTGAAGTGTATCTGAAAGACCCTGGTTGTGCTCTCTGCACACCAGCAAGTGCACAGGGACGAGTACTCTGGTTTGTTTGGTTGGTTTGTTTTGTGGGTTGTTGGTTTGATATTTTTTTTTAATTTAGTTTTGTGGAGGCAAAGCCAAAAGCTGCAGTATACATCTAGATTACCTGGTCGGCCTCACAACTGAAATGGAAATTCAGAGTTGCTATAGAGTCTGTTGTTATGGAGATACATTTAACTGTTGTCATGCTTGCAAGCAGTAACGAGTAGAGCTTTTTTATTTGGTCAGATACTAAGCTCTCACCCTGCTCAGTACAGAGGCTTGAGATGGAGCATGAAGAAACCGTGGCTCTAATATATTCTCCAGAAGTTGTCAAGTGTAAAATAGTCTTAACTGACCTTAGTTTACAACAGCTCTGAAGTTAAAATAATATCATACTTTGTCACAAGAGACATTTTAGATGGCAGAAAAGAAAAATAATTACAGGTTGTTGAAGGATGTGAGTTTTCTAGAGCATGAAATAGATGCTAATCTGCATCACATTTTCCTTGTTAGTAACAATGTCAACTGCATTCCTTTCCTACACTAATTGGTGTCCTGCAGCTATGGAAACAAGAACTTGTAACATTCTGCCTGGGAGTTTGTAATCAATATTTATTATATGAAAATGCAGGATAAGGCTCAATATTTAAAAGACTGATTTGGGTTAATTTAGGGCAAAAAAAAAGATATATTCTGGAGAGTTGAGTACAATCTTGTCATGCTTCCGTGTTTAGAGATCTGTGGTAATTCAGTCTCCAGTGTATTTACTTGGAAAGAGTAAGTCTGTCTGCTTTCAGATCATCTTCAAAACCACTTTGGTATGCTTTGTGACCATTTCGTTTGATGCTGAGTTAAGAGCAATGCCTCCAGTAGGTCAGCTGGTAAGTCACTGTGTTAGCTGCTGATTTGAAAAGAATTTGGAGTAATATTTTGCAGATGTAAATTGCTCTGCTTTCCTGCTGTCATTTTGAAAAATTAATTTCACCTCATAATGCTAAAAATGAACTGTCAAAATCTTACAGCTATGTGAGAATTTCTCTTTTAACCTGCATCTACAGCTTCAATCGTACTGAGAGAAACAATTATTAAATGATAATATAAGCTTTTGGGATCTGTAGTAGTTTGGAGACAGTGATGAGAAGAATAAATATAATAGTACTTGTATATACATTTTTGGTATATCTTTACATACCGTGATTTTAAAATAAAAATATTCAAAGTAAATGAAAGCTGGGGATGTTTAGGTTAGGTATTAGGAGGAAGTTTTTCGCACAGAGGGTGGTGACGCACTGGCAGAGGTTGCCCAAGGAGGTTGTGGATGCCCCATCCCTGCAGGCATTCAAGGCCAGGCTGGATGTGACTCTGGGCAGCCTGATCTGATGGTTGGCCCTGCACACAGCAGGGGGTTGGAACCATATGGTCATTGTGGTCCTTTTCAACCCAGGCCATTCTGGGGTTCTATGTCTTTATCAGAAAATATTTAATAAATACTATTCCTAATTGCCATGTCAGTGTTTCAAGAGTCCAGCTCTGAATTGTAGGTTAGACTAATTTTTACATGATTTTCCCCATGGAATACACCTTTCTGAACTTTGTGATACTTCTTGCAAACTTACGTTGAGACTGTTTGCATTTGGAGAACACTGTGCATCATTTGGATGGAATCTACACAGATTGAAAAGCCCTTTGCAGGTGAGTGCAAATATTTTCTTATGCTAAAAATACTGGAAGTGAAGCATGTGAACATTTATGTTGTAAGCTTAGTTTCATACAGTCCAAATTTTCTAGATAGCTATGTTTTTGTGCCTGATTTTGCACAGGAAAGCAAGAACAACATATAGAGGAAGTTTGAGCTATTTTTTGAAGTCTTTTTCTTGAAGTAGACACCTTGTCTTTTGAGTTCTTGAGATCTCTGACTTAAGTCATATTTTTTAACTCGGTAAGGTATTCTTGGTGCCCAAAGTTATGACCTTTCTCACCACCCACGTTAGGGACAACATTCACTCTTTAGTGACTCTGTTTTTTAATAGATGAACAACAGAAAGTGAGAGATTGAAATTGTTTTTCAAGAGGCTTAGATCAGCATCCCTGATGACCACTTAATTTTACATTAATTAGAAACTAATCTCTATTTGCTGTTATACCCCTGATTAGAACCTCTCATGTGGTGTTAATATGACCTTCACAGAGCTTCTGAGCAATTCAGGATGAGAGCAGCGTCTGTTAATCAGCTGCTGAATTCATCTTTCTAAACCACAACGCAATTTCAGGCTGAGTACAGGCTTAGGAAGAGCTGTTCTGTCACCTGTGAACAAGCTATTATTTCTGAGAAGCTCTTTTCCTTCTTTTCATTTTTGAAGTGTCATTTTTCAGTGGGAACTACAAGACGGAAACGGGAAACTATTTCAATCAGTAGCACCTTGTACTTACTGTTTTATTTATTAATCATAGAATCTAAATATGGGGGAGAGGTTGATAATTTATGCTCAGACTAGAGGAGAAACATGCCCTTTACTCTGGCTTATTTTCTACTCTCAAAGAAGGCATTGTCTTCATGAGTGAAATGAGCAGAGTAGTGTTATGCAGGGGAGGTTGTAGCTTTAGTACTACCAAGGTGGCTCTACCTTATGGCCTGGGAAAGAAAAATAATTCTTAGATTGTAATTTGGCCAATAATGTCCAGGAAAAAAAAAGTAAGGCAGGAGGATCTGGAAACAGAAGTGCAGTCTTAAATCTCTTTTAAGCTTTGCCATATTTCTCTGTACTTGCAGCAGGATTGGATCCTCTGTCTTCTCTCTAGGGAATGATTTTATCCTGAGACACCTGCAGTTAACATCCCTTTTTATGTATGGTCTGTGACCTTACTGATGTTTTGGGCACTGTAGCTTGAGCTGTTTAGATCAGTGCTTCGGGGCAAACTGTTGCAAGACCTATTTCTTGGCTCTGTTTTATTCTAGTTTGTTTATGTCTAAAGCTGGCAGCACAATCTATCCCACAGAGCCGAGCTTGTACTTTAATCCTGCATGAGGCATCCTTGCAGTGGAAGGAAGGCTGGCATCCTCCTCCAGCCCTGGAGAGTCTCTGTACAGATAAAACTTCAGTCAGTGGAGAAATTTACACTGGGCGAAGTAAATTAAATGTGAGAGAAATGGTCACCCCCCTTTTTTGATGTGTGGTTTCAGAGAGACTGTGCTTGAAGGTGTTTCAGAGATGTCCCTAAAGAAATGAGTAAGGAGCTTTCTGTGCTCTCTCAGGGACAGAGCTCTACATCTCTCCCATCAGATGAGAGCATCTGCACTGTGTGACTGCAGCTCTTGGCCACTTCACCTTGTGCAAAGGTATGCCCAAGAAAAGGCTCTGTGCAACTCCACCCATTCCAGAGACAACTCCAAAGCGTGCTTTTTGTTCAAAAAAGAGATACTGTAACTGCTACAAACTATTTTAGCTGAGTTGGACACAGCACTTCACCAAATTTACTTGGAAGTCTTGAAATCACTGAAGCAAATCAGGAATACTTTGGTTTTGGTTATCTCCTACATTACCCTTTGCAGATCCAGTAGTATCTATTCAAGGGTGTCCCACTCAGAAGTTGTTCAATCAATGCTGTTTTGCTTACAGACCACAAAATTTTAACTCCTCTACTTCCCCTTTATGCACTCTCTACCCTACATATACAGCTATATGTATATACAAAAGCAAAGTGAAGGTGGGAAAAGAGAAATGTGGAAGGAAATATGTTTTCACCACTGTACTTTTTATTAAAGAGGCACACAGCAACTAAAATGGAAACAAAGGTCCCTTTCAGCCTAAATCATTCTGTGATTATATTCTGTGATTCTATTATATGATCTTAATATTACTTCCTAACCTTGCTAAGAAAATCATATATTTTTGCATCAAAAATTAGCAAAATAAACATTAACTTGAAGAGTCAAATTGCCCTCTGTGTGCTGCTGTTCTCTAGTACCTGTTATTTAGGTTTTCTTTGGGATAAATAGCTTAAAATTGAAAAGGCTTTCAATTGAAAAGTTTTACAAGCAAGCTGAAAATGTTTTCTTTTTAATCTCATGTTTTAAAGTGTAGATTAAGACATAACCTGTATTTTTTGCGACACAGTATATTGATCATACAGCTGTAGAGTGAGCAAAGCTGCCACTCATCAAATAATAGCAGTTGTAAAAGCTATTAAATATGTTTCTAATGTCTCTAAGTGCTCAAGTGCATTATGTGTCTGTTCACTGAAAATTGTACACTGTTCTCCATCTCACGTTACTAGGAGCTCTCCTGTGGTTTAGATCGCTGCAACCCTGAAGGTTATCTTTATCTCATGCTCTCAGAATAGCTCTGAATTTGGTCTTTACTTTAGCAAATTGTGTGAATTGTTGAAAATTTAATAGTTTACATCACGTGTCTCTGTTACAGTGGTTCAGTATGTTA